AAGATTTTCATGACTAAACTAAAATCTCTCTTATATCTAAAACTGTCCAGGCTTAGGGTTATGTGTGTTATTTCTTTATAGAATGCTAAACTCATTAGTTAATGCAAATTCTTCCTCGTAAAATTTGTAAGATTTCTTTCACTCCCTGCTAGTTTATAGTGCATCATGGCGCGCAATCTCTTATGTTAGATTTCTTTCACTCCCTGCTAGTTTATAGTGCATCATGGCGCGCAATCTCTTAGGTTAGATTTCTTTCACTCCCTACTAGTTTATAGTGCATCATGGCGCGCAATCTCTTAGGTTAGATTTATTTCACTCCCTGCTAGTTTATAGTGCATCATGGCGCGCAATCTCTTATGTTAGATTTCTTTCACTGCCTGCTAGTTTATAGTGCATCATGGCGCAAAATCTCTTATGGTAATTGCGTTAGTTTTTACCTTCCTTAATCTATATAGTTACACAGATAACTTTGATTTCATATTTGTGTACAACAGAAGATAGCTACTATAACATATAACAAGAGACTGAAGAGAAGGCCTGATCTTGTCGAGTAATTAATTATACAACAAACTTCAATTAATGTACCGTGTGTGAGTGAAATTATAGAAAACGTTTTCAGTTTACGTCGACGTTAATAATGATTTATAAAGTGTTCTGTGGAGCATGTCCACTCCCAGGCCTATTTTTAGTCGTGTTTATGCAACTGGCATTTTCATACTTATATCTTAGTAGTTTCCCCTTCCAACTGTTACTTAAATTTTATGCTTTCCATACAACCATATTTTTTGTTTTATAAGTGTACACAATTTGAATTGTTTTCACGTTCACCTATATGAAACTGACTTCTGTATAGGCCAGGCCTATGGATAAACATATTAGGCATGCATTCACACGTTATTACTACTATTATTATTTGCTTCCAATTTGATCTTTAACATATATTCATCCAAATTTAGTCGCTTATATGGTGACTTTCAGTATGCCTTTCAATCTTTTTTTATAGTAAATTTGGCTCACTTTGACGAACATATGTGACAAATTTTATATTCCATGAAAAGGTATACCTTTTAGTGCCAAATATTTACTGGGTCCTGGATAAAATGACCATCTTTTAGTATCTAACTGACTGTCTTCTGGATACAAGGGGTGTTTTCTAGTAACTAATTGGCTGGCTCTTTGATACAAGGGTTACCTTCTAGTACCTAATTGTCTGGCTCCTGATACATGGGTTACTTACCTTCTATTGCCTATTTGCCTGGATCCTGGATACATTGGATACCTTGTAGGGTCCTTGGTACAAGGGGGGTGTCTTCTAGTACCTAATTGATTGGGTTCTAGATACAAGGGAATGTTGTTTCCTGTTAGATTAAATCCAATTCAACCAGACACTAAAAGAAAATATATATATATATATATATCTTATTACGTTCTTTAGAAAAATAATGTTTCAACTTTGGGTCTACATTAAATCTTGGATTCAAAAATATTGATTCTAGGTATATGTCAAAGATTTTAAAAGTTTTCAACAATGTGTTTGATAGCAGTTACTGAAGATTTGTGTTTTTGATTCTATTTTAAAATGTCTCTAATTCAATAACCTGATAACTTATTTTTTGTTCCTATTGATCTTTTATACCAACTCTGGACAAAGTACAATAGTTTGAAAGAAGAGTTTTGTTGTATATATGTGTATGTATATATATATATATCCTGAATTCGCCTTTGACCTATACGTTTTCTAAATTGCAATCGATTGATTCTTATGTTCACCAAAGATGGTTTAATGTTTGAAAATAGTTCTTCAATCACACACAGAAACAATATCATAAACTTAAATATTCACTCATGTAATTACACTCAAGGGACTTCTGTTTCACAAACTTAGCCTCTAGTCCTTCAAAAATACATACATGAATATAACTTAATATATTAAGTACAATCAATAGCCCTATGAATGTAAAAATCCGTTAGCTCTAGAGTTTAAATTCTAAGAAATTGAAAAAACTTGATGTCTTCCAGAAGTCGAAAGAAGTCATATTTAATATTTATGAAATTTAAAGTCAAACACTATAACTTTAAACCAAAGGGGGGAAATATTTACTTAACTTCCAATAGAAGGTGGGGGCATGTTTTATATGGTTTTCAGAGTAGGGTAGCAGAGATGAATATTCTGTTAATTGCTCCAAAATTCAAATAAAAAGTGCATTTTTACTTCCAGGCTTCATAACAACTGATAAACATTGTCCGAGTATTTTAGTACGAAGAAAACACAAATAACATCCTTACAGTGAAGAGCATAGTAGTTGTGGATGCGGATATAAAAAAAAGGTTATTTTGTTAAATAAGTGAGTTATTTTCCATTTGAAGTCAACAATAAAATGTACTTAGTTTCCTGAACTACAGAAATCTATAACACAGTTTCTATCTAATTCGTTAGACGTTGATGAGAAAGTTAAGTAAAGAAATTAGTAAAAGTAATCTAATAAAAACGCTTTAAATTTTGTAACCCATAAAACAGCTTTAATCTCAATACTTGATTTTTTTCTCATTCTAAAGTCGAAACCGCCTTTACTGAAAAACCTAACTGATGAATAACTACATTTGTTACTTAAGTGAGACTTGCGAGTTTCCGTTTAGTTATGTCTATACAATCTTCCCTTTACGCTTATCTCAGATACAAAGCTTTTATTGTTTACTTTCATTAGTTTCAATGGGTGAGAACTGTCTTAAGTGCTGTCTAAGAAACCTTTGTTTAAAAAGAAATGCGATAAATATCTAAAAAATGTTTGAATGTCAGTCAAAAATAAATAACGTCCTCATTTTGGAGAAAACTCTGTAACATTCGTTTTTTCAATAAAGGTTTGAAACATGATATATGATTGTTTGCAACAATAAAAGCCCTTGCTATCAGCGAAAAACAAAAGACTTTTGTTTTTTATTAAGCATAAAGCTTCACAATGGGTTATCTGTACTCTGTCCATCGTGAGTACCGAATCTCAATTTTTAGCGTATTAAGTCCTTAGACTTACCGCTGAGCTACCGAAGGAAAATAGAGGCTGTCAAAACACATAATTATCAGATTTTGATAAGTGCAAAACATAACCTAGCTTTTAATGGAAAAACGTTGAATAAGTTGTTTATTCATCTTTTCGAGTCTGAAAAATCTAACAATTATATGTTAAAAAGATAATGTAACATCTCCATGAAAAAACAAAACAAAAAAATAGAAATGACGACTATGGTAAATGATATCCTAGCTGCCTGAGTTAAAAAAACACAAAGATCACATGTAAACTTAGGTTGGTAGTTTCGTATCTGATGTCGTGTTTTATTTTGAAACTAGCTTTATGTATTGCAAATACCAGTAATATATAAACAGCGTTCACTTTCAGTTGGAATCGCTCCCCAGTGGCACAGCGGTATGTCTGCGGACTTACAACGCTAGAATCCGGGTTTCGATACCCGTGGTGGGCAGATAGCCCATCGTGTAGCTTTGTGCTTAATTACAAAGAGATGGGACTCTTTTCTTTTTCATCTTTCTGAATAACATTTCAAAAGCATATTTAACATAATTAAGAGAACGTTTGATAATGACAAAATAATAATTTACGTCCTCTCATCACAGCTAAAATTAACTTAATCTCCACGTTTCATTCATTTCTACATAATAAAAAGTGGTGATTTATCAATAAAATGTCACATTACTTAACAAACTTTTCTCAGAAAGTTCTCAGTTGTTCCAACTCAGATCTTACAATTTTATCTTTGTATCTACGCCTATTTTTACATTTTAAACGTGTAAATGCATTACTGGCCTAAACTAAAAGTAAAAACTATTTCTGAGATAACACATTATGAGGTTTAACAAAGAGTTGAATTAAGTTGTACTGTATCAGCTTTAGTACAATAAGACTATGTTTTTAATTCTATTATTCCATTATGAAAGCATAGGCTGAATTGTGAACAGATTTTATAAAGCAGCTCTGTAGAATGTCAAACATTTACCTGGATAATATAGAAAAAGTGATTCGTGATATGGGTAAAATACTTGTATATTGGCAACCAGCTTGAAAAAGAACTGCTAACTAGCTTAGCATGTACAATGCTATTAAATAACATTTTTGTAGTTTTTTTAGCTTTCACAAATAATGAGAAATGCGTTGAAAATCATTTCTTACTTGTGTACGGCCCGTATATCTTCACTGACACTCTAAATTAAATCCGTATTTATTTACAATGTATACTCATCTACTGCCAGATTAATGATTGAAACATAGTTCAGATTTAATCGGCTTAACTTGTATGATTAAGTTTAAAGGGTAGTCTGTTTTTAGAAGATTTAAACTCGAATGATACGTTTTATCGCACTCACTTTTCAAAGTAATTGTTAAAATATCTACAACGGAAAGAGGAGTATACAGTCAATGGTTCTGAAGAAATACGAAAAACAACTTAGTCAAACTCAGTGTGCAACTCTATAAAAACTCTTACAAATGATACACCCTCCATCGTATTTTTAGCTATGTTTTATAATTTTCTTTCATTTTTAGAATGTTAAACATTTTACTACAATGGCATAAGACAAAATGTTAAGTTGACTTTTGATTCCGTTATTATCAAACATTATTCATGTTAAGCCTTTTCACAGGAATTAACCTCGATAATACATAATTTGAAGTTGATTAACAAAATAAACTTGCTTATCAACTAATCATTAATATTTGCATTATGATAATATTTAGTTAAGTTCTTAAAATCATGATTTTCTTTAAGAAATAAATTATTATAAACGCATATATATATATTTTTGCTTCGAATAATGGTTGACACGTTTATCCTTTCACAGAGGGCAGCATTCGCAAGTCACTAGCCAAACACTTTATGCTGATTGGTTTACGATTACACCTCCTCGAGACCTTCTGAGCTGCAGCCTGCTGGCCTACTTAGGAACTCGGTTATGACAGGACGTGTGCGCACGCGCAAATTCAGTATCACTGAATCGCACATGGTAAGGTTGTATCTGGGTTCAGGCATTTGGCCAGCCTTGGTCTTGAGTGAAACAGTCGTCTGCCTCGCCTGTCCTTGACGTCGTTCGTAGATTTCAAAGCCTATTGCAAGCATTATTTCAAGAAAATTTTGGTTAATTGACTATTAGGGTAAAAGATGTTTAGGGTTTTAACTGTTGAATGTGCTTCAAATAATCAGTTTTGGAGCTAATTTATCAAGTTTTTACATGCCAGACATACTGTAGTGGGTTGTTTGTTGATGTTCGAGAGCCCATCCTCCCTTGAACGGGACTTACTCTTATTAACCAACTCTTTGGTGTCACAGTGTTGAGACTGATCACGTGACGTAGTAGGTAGCGCTAATCAGTGTCTTTTGACCAACTTTCTCCGGTCAACTTATAAACTAGGGGGTCACTCAAGCAGTAGATTTTGCCTGCGAATACTTCTAGTTATTGTTTGCTGTCAGTTGTGAACTGGTAAGTTCTATTTGCTTTAATTATACATACGTCAACTTTCAGTTACTTGTTAAAACTTAAAAAGTAGAATAAAGTTTCAGTTCATTCAATTAACGACGTAAATATATTTTATGAGACTGACCGTAATCACAACCATCCACAAACGATTAAACTGTAAGTTGTTTCAATGGAACTTTAGGCAGAATAGACACAGTAGGTTTGAGAACTAAACCTAATAAACTTTATACTGTTTTCAATTCTTTATTTACTTACCAAAAGCCTAACAACACTCACATTGAAATCTGTTTTTTAACATCTAGGTTGATAAACGTTCAGTAAGTTGCAGATTCTATTTAGTTTATAAGCCGTTTTAGAGATTTGGTGATTTACTAATACTAGTGCTAAGAACACTTCTCATATTATAGAATAAGTAACTGGCATGCGTGATATAAACTGGGGAATTTATTTAATGATAGAATTATTCTGCCAAAATCTTTGAAGTCGTATTTTTGACATTTGAAATATAACGTCCGTTTGTATACATAAATGTCTAAATGTGTTTTCTCAATTCCCGTAAAAGTTATAGATCGTTGATTAGAATAGTTTAGGGTTATTGAGATTACTCCAATAACAGGTATCTCAGCAAGAATCACCTTTTAATATAAAGATCCGTGCTGAAGTTTATTGAAGTGAAACTTTCTAACAAGTATTGAAAATTTATACATTACTTTTAGGAGTAAATGGCCAAGTAAGTAGTTTTCAACTTGGTTGTCTAAAACGAACTATACTTATCACTGAATCAATCACCACGTGTTAACCGATATACTAAACACCAGCAAGTAGCATGAAATTGAATTGGAAACCAGCTGTACGTATATCTTTAAATTATGTCTTATCTTTACAGTAAACATGTTTACAAAGGAAACGCACTACAGGTGTAAAAGGTCGTAGGTATTTGGAAAAAAAAAACGTTATTTTTTCAACAGTCAGTATTTATATGTTATTAAGAAATAATTTGTGTACATTTAACCTATTTTTGGCACAAAATATTTCTTTTGTGGTACACTATTTGGATTAAGAGTTAGTTCCAAACACATACATGTCCGTGGATGGAATTTGACACTCTAAGTGTATGTGTTGCATATCAGTATATCGATTACCGCCTGCTTTAATTTGTACCCTCCCCTGGTGGCTCAGCTGTAAGCTCCAGGGCTTATAACGTTAAAATTTGAGTTTGATTCTAGTGTTGGCGCAGCACAGATAGTAGTCCATTGTGCAGTTTTAGACAAGTCGAACAAGTGACAAACCTTTGAATTTCACGATATGAATGTGAGACGGAAATAATAATGGACAAATAATTTTTCATTATTTTATCCGACAGGAAGATTTATGAAAAACAAAAATCCTGGTCTGCAGTAATTCAAAGTAGAAAAACTTATTTCTTATATTGCACTTATTAATGATGTGTTATGCAAAGAAGGGGCAAAATTCCAGGCTATATATATATATATATATATATATAAAGCATCTAATATTCCTGCAGTTGTGCATTGTTTATGCTGTAAAACTGAATAAAGTTACCAGGTTTACATGTTTAAGACTTGTATTGAAGTATGCATGCACTTCTTCTGAACTACTTGGTTTACTACTAGTGCCAATATGTCTAGTTCGAAACTTTTTGGCTATATTATGATATACACTATAAATGGTGTTTCCCTGACCAGTGTCATCGTGTCTGGTTGAGAATTTTGTGGCTATAATGGAATGTACACAAGGATGGTGTTTGTCTGACCAATGTCAACACGTCTTGTTCATAAGTCTCATTCTGAGGTGCGCAGTGTTTGTAAAAAGTTTTATAATAACATCATGAAGGATATATGAAAAAAGGTCTTTTTTTTAGCCCAACGAAATCACTCCTTTCTCTACCTAAACAACCCTTAATACTGGCAGCCCAACACATTCTTATAACAGTGGATTTTCAAAGCTTGCATTTATTCGATTTAATGTTTAAATCAGATAAACCAAATAACCGTCCTTAAATTAGTTGTATGCTTCAGCCAACGATTAACTGTATGACCAGAGACATATTGTAATACTCTCATATTTCTATATACCTTTTCACAATGTATTGTTTTTATATATGTAAAATACATAGCACTAAGAAAGGAATTTATGACATACACAAACACTGACGTAGGGAAGTGATTTGGTCTCTATGTATTAGTTATCATCCATCTTTTCTTTCTATTTGTTGTTAAATGCTCAAACTGTATGTTTCAGTAACTATTTCCTCAACATTAATTCTCAAATCTACATGCCAGGAGGTGAGAGAAAGCTAATTATCTGGATGTTTATGGAGTGATGGATCTGATTACATTGCTTGTTCGCTAGTGTAATTGATTTATGTTTAGTTGCCGGAAATTAGAACTGGTAGAAGAAAATAATATTTTATATTCCATAGTAGTCAACTTATCACGTTTCTTGTGCAGTTGAGGGAAATTTGTAGTTTAGAAGACCTAATTCCATATACTTAACAAGAGGTGAAAATTGAAAGGGACCATCTCTCAAGTTGTATACTGGAGAGTTGTATGTCACGTTATCCTTTTATTGATTTTAATATTTTGTTTTGAGTAATATTAACATTACACTCTGTGGAAAAAGAGATTACTTAACGAAAAATTTAAAAATATGTGTGTGTGTGTGTGTGTTATAAACAGTAGTATTTTGTTTAATTCAATAAAAAAATGAATTTTCTCTTCGTGTTTGGATAAAAGCTGGAAATAGTTACTTTCTTGAATAAATAAGTAAAACCTAAACTGTAGAATAATATTTATTTAATGGATTTTCTCATTTAGGTAGCCATGCGAATGTAGATAGCTGTAACTTTCATATTATCTAAAAGAGGTATCGTAAACCAGTATATGCTAGTCATTGCGATAATGTTTTTCTCTATATATTTTGAAACACTACAGCTATTACTTGGTTGAGATTTGTTTTTACAATAGAATGATGTCACAGAACCGGTGCCTATGCTATTAAAGTACACAATGATATATTCTAGGCGACCTAACGCAATATCGTTATCATCTGATGCCCATATAAGAGTTTCTAGTTCATTATCTCACAGGTTGTCTTTTGGTCACTAGGTTATTGTTTAACTCCGTATTTATTGACTTATGCCTAAACCAATCACTTAATGTGCTGACAATTTGTTGCATGTAACAACAAAAACGTATGGTAAACGGGGTTACTCAGATGATGCTGTACTTTCAAGATTTATGTCAGCCAAAATGGGTCTAATTGTTTTGTTATATTGAAATAAATAAATATATATAAATATGTTGAATTTAATACTGGTTGCTCTCCAGTTTTAGTCAATGAGAAATTAAGCAGTCTGACTGGAATATTTACTTCAAGTGCAGTTAACAGCTGCTGGGAACACCGTAGTTATGTTAATATAGTATGTTACTCCCGCATAGTCACACATTATGTGTGTGTGTGGAAAATAATGACGTTTCTCTGTCAACTTGACAGTCGAGTTTCGTTGTCTCTGACAAACCTATCACTTACTTGTTTCGTGGCAATACCGCCACAAAGTCTACGTCAGCTACCTTATGTACACACGTAAAATACCACTTGAGTGCCAAAAAGTAACAAAAATGCTTTGTGGTTGGTCATTTCTTTGATATTTAATGTGACTTGTAATGTAAAGGAACATACAATTATAGTAATTCACGTAAGAACTTTTTTACACCACACTCTTAATTTACTGGCGCTTTATACACGCTGTGTATTTAAGTATTTAAAGCCTGTTTATGTACTACTAACTAAATCACAGGACAATAGTTTTTCAAACCATATTTTGTCGGTTTGGTTTTTGGAGTATCATTTAATTTTTAGGCTTCTGCACAGTTTAGTTCAAACTGTGTTACACTTTATTTCAGATAGTAAGCGAGCAAATAATCAAACAGGCTCTACATGTATGCCCTTTGCAAAGTATTCTGAGATTTGGTAAGACCATATTTCCTCAGAACTGATTTCTCAGCCATATGCACTTCTCAATATAATTACTGATTTTTGAGGACACGTTTTTTTTTTTTATCATTATTAATACTTCAGGATTCTGTTCGTAAATTAGAAGTTCTATACTTTGTTAAAACAGAAACGAAACATTTAAATTGAAAAGGAAAAGGAGTGAAAATAATAAGCTAATATGATATTGCAAAAGATATTTTAGAACTTTATTGAAACGTTAACCTTCTGGAAGACTGATCGTGTACTCCATGGATTGGGCACGTTGAAGCCATTTATTTGAAATACAGTCTCACAGCATTAATGATAATAAAAATACTCGACTAAATTAGGAGTTATTTGGTGAAATGAGTCAAAATATAATGATTTTATTGGACAGCAAAATCGTCATCTGAGGAACAAGTGTCGGTAATCTGTGATAATCGTTGTTTAGAAACAGAAAACTAAGAAACTGATTGTTTTCAGAAGTTGAGCAAGTAGATCAGCTAAAACTTGTGTGTGTAATTTCCGTGCCCAAGGTTAGCGGTGAAAAACGGTACGAAAGACCTTAAGATATCTCCTTGCCGTCTCACCAACCGTGTACCGTACTATTGACGAGTTTAGCAGCGCAAGAGCAGTGGAGAGTGTAGGCACGAAAGTTGCAATGGATGCTGATTGCTCATATGACCTAATTCTAAAACTACACATGCCTGATCTCCTTTTTTTGTCAAACTGCTCTATTAACCGAGTACAGTGTGACCCAGAGTCGTGGAACTTGTGTAGCCATACTTTGGAAGCTCGTGAAAGGTTGTAATATTCTAGGCCAAGTCCACAGGAAACAGAGCGTTGTATGGATAATCACTGCGAGATATCGGCAAAATTAAACCTACAGATGATAATGAATTATTTTTCTTTCATAAGATTAAGTTGTTTTTATGCTACAACAGAGAGGATTAAATTTCTTGTAAATTTACGTGAGTTATAAAGAGGTAATTAATGACAACAACATA